TTCTTCCCCCAACCCCCCCCCCCCACCCTCCAAAAAAATAATAATAATAAATCAAACTTCAATCGTGATCGTTGAATCAGGTACGTGTTGAAATCCATTTTTCCAATGGTATGATTTTTATCAGAACTCTGAAGCATTCATTCTATGGTGTAGAACGGTCTGCATGGGACATTTTCTGTTGGTCTTGATTTTCTTAAAATCATGTGGACTTCTTTAGTTTGACTGAGACAAACTGACTAGTGAGAGGAATTGGATTCACACAGAGTCACGTCAATTTCTTCTCACAACTGTTTAACAATGTTCTCTAAATTTTTTTTAAATAAGTAAAAGCAAGTTATCAGATAGTATTTGAAAACAATTTTAACTTCTTTTTTAGGTCCATCCTCCCCACTATGAAGCTACTACCATTTTGCCAGGATAAATTATTACTACAGTAAGAACTAAGAAATAAGAGTACGTGGTGATCTTGTGTTCTTGCACGCTCAAAACACTGAACGAAATTTACAAAATACGATATCGGAGAGTTTTAATATTTTATATGATGATAATAGAAACATCATTTATTGAAAAAAAATAGAAAAAAAATAAAATGTGTCATTATAAGTTGTTAAGGTTAAACCCCAACCTTGAGGATCCCCATCACCCTGCCCTTGAAGTATTATGAGGGAGGTAAATCGTAGAATGTATCCCAACAGACCAGGAAACAAGAGCTTGTCTGTACACTAATGTTCACAAATAGTCTAATTTCATATCTCAAGAATCGAACATTCACATTGTGACTGTCAGCAAGATTGAGACTACTTTACTTCTGTCCTTTACAATATTGGACTTTGCCCCGAGGGACGTGTCAATATAAGTTGTTGATTAGACAATGATACACTTATTTGAAATAATAAATCACACTTTATAAATTATGCTATGTATCATTTTGAAAACCACGTTTCATTAAAAGTTTTTTTTTATTAATATCATTTTTGTGTGAGATTTATAAAATTTATTATATTGATCCTTCAACTCTAACATGAAATTAAAAAATAATAACTTTAAAAGTTAAGATTGTATAGAAAAGACTGTTGACTCTTTTTCAACATTGTAAAACTAATAAAATTCATAATTGCTAAATAACATTTTTTGTTTTAATAGAAATTAGATAAAATCAAGTAAAATATTACTTATTATTTTGGAGCTAATAGTTATTTTCACGTTCAATTTAAATTGGGGTCATCTTGCAAAATAAAAATTTATCAAGGATGTCTGTGTAATATTCCTATTTTCTGCAG